GCCGATTGCCTCCAACCATCTTATAATATCATTATTAGTTTAGTTTCACAGTGATTGTGTACTACTTGATTTTAATTCAATCTAACCTGATGGATATTATTCTCTGTTCAAAGGGCATATAAAGCACGAGCTACTGAACTTATAGATTGTATAGATGATGTTTACTTGTGTTCATCAAGTGATCAATGTCACCCTGTGTAATCTGGTTTGATTCACTTTTTTGTAGTCTAAGAAATCAAAATCAAAGTTGATTAATACAGCCTCCTAATTTCTATTTGACTAACTCTTACAACTGAATAATCAGTCTTTTGATGTTATATTGAATAAGATTATAAGTATAATTGTTAAATAGGTGTATTCATAACAATATGTATTAACTGTACTGTATTGTTTTCCATTTAAAATATTTCTATGAAAATCACAATCCTAGTCATTGAAAGTGCTGAGCTAGAAGTACTTTTTTCTACTTTTTTGTTTATGTCATGTTATTCTTAGCTGAACGGGTATTCTTTGCACTAGATACCATTACCTTATTTATTCCACTGGGTTTGTTCTTGTTAACAATGGATGTTAATTCTGTTGTTTTTGTTTGACTGACTGAGATATCAATCAATACCAAAACAAAGCAACATAAATAGAGAATTAATGGAAACTAGATAATGGTCTTCCTATGGTCTTCTTGAAGTTTCGATTTCTAAGACAGTTCTAAAACCTTTACTGGTCTTTGCAGTTGTAGATTTAGAATAAAATGACAGTCTATCCTTCTATTCCACGGATTTTAATATTACAAGCATCAGTTTGCAGAGATTTGATCAGTTCCAAGTTTGCTCACAGATTGATATCAGTTAGAGAACCATTGAAAAGTAGGGAATACTGGACAGTTGTTTCGTCGTAGTTTGGGACTCTTCGTCAGTACCAACCCATAACCCTACCAGAGATCGAAGTGAATATCTTCAGGTTACGAGGTGAGCTCGGTAACCATTCAGCCATTGAGTAAGAATCCGATCACTAGACCATAAGTTGTAACTTCTGTCAATTCCCGATTTTCAACGCCATTGTTAGCCGATGTAAACATTTGCAAGCTTTACATCAAAGAACTAGGTGACTTTATCACCATTTACTTTATAAAGTAGTTACTTCTTTTTACCATACAGATGTTCATTATCCTGTAGATGCAATATTTACAATATAACAAGGAAAAACAAAAAGAATCAAGTAGTTGTATTCGTGGTTTCAAGTTAGAATTGAAAAAATTCAGCCTTTTAAAACAAATAGAAGTTTTCAAGTATTGGTTCGTAGGGATTTGAGTCATTTGTTACAGGATTTTATCATAAACTGACATTGGTTAGAAAGCCACCGGAAAACCTGGGAGTACTGAACAGCTGTTTCACTGGCCTAGTTTGGGACTCTTCGGCAGCATGCACCCACCGGGCTTCGAACTCAGAACCTTCTGGTTACAAGGCGAGCTCGTAGACCATTAAGCCACTGGAACCCGATCAGATGGCCCATGAATTCTAACTTCTACCAATTTACGACATAGCGTGACTACTAGCCAATGTCTTTGGCGAGTATTTGTCGTCACACCCGACCTTCTGTAGCTGCTGCTTGCCTTGTAACCAGAAGGTCCTTGATTTGAACCCTGTCAGTGGGTGCGTACCGTTAAATTGTCCCAAACTAGGCTAACGAAACAGCTGTCCAGTACTCCTAGGTTTTCCAGTGGTTCTCTAACCGGTCTCAGCTAATGATGAAATCCTGTAAAAAATAAAAGTTGATTTTGTTTTATGGGAGACGCCAAATATACTTTCATTTTATTGCATTTTTAGCTAACCCAATAATAATATTAAAGTCAGTAAAAAGTTTGATCATTGTTGAATGGTTTACACACAATGATCAATAAGAAAACTTATCATTGTGTGTAAACCACTGAAATATAATTATACTTTATTCCAATAATAATAATTTGTCACCTTTTCAATCATTTAAGAGCGAAAATTGTCAGTGAATGCTTACCTAGTAGGGCTGAAAGATGTTTGTAATATATCAAGTATCGAGTACCAATTTATATTATTATTTCCTTGGGTTCCGAGTGGAACATAGGGCTTCAACAATACATCTCCACTTTGTTCTATTTTCTGATGTCTTCCTTAGCTGGCCCCACGATTGGCCATGACCTCTCATATCCTCCATGTCACCCTCAGATAAAACACTTGTCGTTTTCACCTCGGGTTCCACTCGAGCAATGGCGTGGCGAGCGATGTCACTCAATGGTCCCCTCAGTGCGTGACCAGTCCATCTCCATTTTCTCCTTCATATTTGTTGAACGAAGGTTATTGGTTAGTATGTTCCCATAGTTCCTTATTGCTAATTCTTTCTGACCATTTGATCTTCAATATGAGACGAAAGCAGTTGTTAATAAAAGTCTACAGAAATCTGTTGGAAATGCTTTTCATGACGCAATAGCCAAGTCTCTGACCCATATATAAGAACGAGCTGACTTTACACTTTTGTCGAAAATCTGAATCTTTTCCTTCATGCTGAGTGTAGAAAACTTCCAGACTGATTTCAGATTGATGAAGGCGTAGCTTGCCTTTCCAACTTTGTATGGTTTTGACACTTTATCTGTTCCGCCTGCCTGTGGTTGAAACGATGCTTCCTAGATAAGTGAAGGAAGTAATCTCTTTCAAGTTTCTCCCGTTGATGGTAGTTGCCACAGGTTGTTCTTGTTGGTCGGTTGGTTGGTTATCTTCATCAACTCTGCCTTCTCTATGCTCACCTGGAGTCCTGTCTTCGCTGCCTGCTTCTTCAACCAGTTTGTTGATTTTCGCTGGCAAGTCTTCGAGTTTGTGTGACACTAAACATAGATCATCCACGCGCGAAATCCAGGTGTTCTAGAGTCTTCTTATCGATCGGTGCAGCATATTCCTGTCTCCTCGCTCCGCAGTATCAATACTGTGACTTAATGTTTAATTTCCCCACTTGGTAGTTTTAAACACAAATAGGGTGTGATCTACTGACCTCCAAGCTCTTTTTTTCCAAAATTCATTTTGTTTTACTTATAATGTTTGCTATAGAGTTTAACAAAAATAAAGTGTTTAAAATAGACTAGTATCCCAAGCTTTTCCAATTTCACTATTGTTTACGCATGCGCTTACTTTTGTGTGCTTTAGCTAAACAATTTCTTCCATTTTGGTTTAGACTCTAATTCATTCCACTGTATTACATAATGCTATTTAGTTAAGGAGTTTTAGTGTTCTTTGCCTTATTTTATTTAGTTATATTTTAAACTCTTGTATATGACTGTTTTCTGTTATCTCTTGAGCTAATTAAAATAAATAAACAATACATCAATAAACAGGATATCATTAATCCTAGTTGTAAGGGAAAACAATCTGTGTTCAGCGAAGAAATCTTTCTCCATTCAGAGACTTCATTTTCAATTTTTACGCAAACAGGCATAAAGTGGAACCAAAATCGCTCAATAGTTAATCTACACATAAATACGAATAAAGGCAATTAAAATATAATTTCTTAGGGGACAGAGTTGGAGTTGGTAAGTTGCCAAATTTAAAAAAATTATAAAATGAGTGAATTGACATTAGGATTTTAAAAGTAGGCCGAATGTTGTCAAAAAATTAAGTGTCAAGATGAAGTGAAGTGGAACAAATCCAAGCGATAAAATGAAATTACTGAGAATACAGTATAGAAAGGGGTTTAAGAAAACCCTTTTAGATACACAGTTTAGGTTCTTGTCCATGTATGGCGAGAGCTCCAGCTGTATAAAGTGGGGTGGGGGGGGGGTAAACTTTTAGGGTGACTAAGTTTCGCCCTGTAGATAAATTCAAAAGATGAATTGCTTGAGGCTGAATGATTTGACTCAGGAAGATGCTCACAGATTGAAGACATTCTTCATTCCATGTTGGCCTTTCATCAACTACACCGGGTAGTGTTCAGTTACGCGTTTCTGGGGAACATGATTACAACATCCTATGTAACCAGCTCCGGAGGATGTGAAAAAGCTGTTTTTCTAAAGAATGCTTATAATAATAATAATTATTATTATAATTTCAATCCTCAGGAAAATATGCTACATGGAAACCAATGACTGGAAACTGTTGGTGATATAACTCAGAGTCGTTACCAGTTGCGCAGATGCATTCACTCCTTGTAATCTCCCAGTTCCATTAAGTTCTAATGCTTTTCCATGTAATTGTTCCTCGTTCCATACATCTGTGTTCATTATAGTTCCTTTGAATTTCTTTTTCTGTACCTTTATATGTTTTATGGAGTGAGACAACTTGAACTGCTGCTCTTCTATGCATGGTTTTACGTTGAAACTCAGTCAGTATGTAGAGTAAATATAAATAGATAATATTATTCACTCATTGTTATTCTATCGTCGAGTAATCTTTATTCATGACGAAATGTAATTGAAAGTTCAACTAGTCTAACCAATATTGTAACTGCCCGGATTTACTAATGAACTGGTAAACGTTATCAGTTGAAATAGTAGTAAAAAAACAATTCCAACAGTTAATGTGATCACGACCAATTATATTGTTGCTCGAAATATTATCAAAAACAAAATCCTATCATTTTGTGTAGACAATTAAAATATAATTATAATTTATTAGTATTAAAGCATTTTATGTTATAATATCCTTACGTTTGCATATGATGAAAAGGTAATTTATTATAAAACTGTTACAAGACACTTTGCAGTTAAAATGTTAACTATCACTTTTGAAGTTGTATATATAGTAAATACAACAGTATAGCATAAATTAAGTTAGTCTGTCTAACACTTAATTCTTTATTAAATAGCATTGATTAATTCTATTGATTGATGTCATTTATTTTAAGTTAATGGCATAAAAAACCCATCCTTGCTAACATGAGCTATCGTCTGAGTCATTTTGTAGAATCTCTTATAACAACCTCTGCATCTGATGAATTGTACAACGAATTATTATTGTGTATTCCACTTAATATTATTTCTATAGGTTTGAACGTCGGTCAACAGAATTATTGCCTGGTATGGAGGGCAAATATGTGGCTAGAGGACAATTTTCTGGAAAGTGTATAGCTGTACTAACAAGTGGTGGAGATGCTCAAGGAATGAATGCAGCTGTACGTGCTGTTGTACGCATGGGAATATATTGCGGATGTCGTGTTTTTTTCATTAAAGAAGGATATCAAGGTCTTGTGGATGGTGGTTCAAATATTGTAGAGGCATCATGGGCTGATGTATCTGGAATACTTCAAGCTGTAAGTCTATCCAGTAGAATGTTTATTTATTTGTCAATAAACAAATACTTAATATTATATGTTTCCAGGCCGTAGGTGTTACGAACTTCCTGAAATAATTTGAGCGCCGAGTCAGATTGATTCATTATAAATTATTTAAATTAATCCCAGCTTATTAAGAAAATCAAAACAAGATTTTTTTGAACGTTTCGCTGTGTAAGCCACAGCTTCTTCAGCAGATTTATTCGGATTTTTATTAATCATCAAAATAAAATGTTTACATAAATTGAAGTCCGTTTACTTGAAGGTCATTTGTCCATGGACATTTTTACCAATAGAAAATATGTAAGCAGTCATCACATATATTTGACATTAGTCATTACAAATATATGTGATGACTGCTTACATATTTTCTATTGGTAAAAATGTCCATGGACAAATGACCTTCAAATAAACTGACTTCAATTTATGTACAAAATTTTTGACTATATATTTTGATGATTAATAAAAATCCGAATAAATCTGTTGAAGAAGCTATGGCTTACACAGCGAAACGTTCAAAAAAATTTTGTTTTGATTTTCTTAATAAGCTGGGATTAATTTAAATAATTTATAATGAAATGAAACAATTGGTTTCAATTTTTGTACATTAGAATACTATTCTATCTCCCTTAATTTCATCTATAAACTAAACTATTAAGTTGTATTGGTGTTTTTCTGTCGCAGATTCTATCTTAATCTGCCTACAGAAGCTTTTCTACCATTCTTCAAATACAGCATGTATACAACTACAAAAACCACGAAAACTTACAGAATGGTACTGGAGCATTTTATAACGTAAATAACTAAAGAGGAAAATGATGGAAATCCTAATGTAGAAATATTTTAAAATGAACTTTGATTACACAGTTAAGAAGACGAAAAATCTGATCTCAACATGTACAAGTCCCATTTAAAAACATTGTTCGTTTACAGATCTGTTTCCGAAATCTTTCATGTGCTAACAATTGCTAAATGAACACAAATGTCATTACTGTTCAAGTGCAGCCTGTGAAATGCATCATCTTTAAGTTGGAAAATTACTCAAACTGTTAGGTGGCGTAATTTTCAATGAAGTTTACTTGAATGCTATGCGTAAGATTGGTCTAATCAATGAAGTTTATATTAGTGAATGACCTCATTTCTAAGCATCACTTCACATCATACACTTTATTGAGCTATTTAATGCCTTATATAATAAGCCGAAATTAGATGTGGTGGAGAACACCCATCAGTGCAAAGACCTCTCGACACTGAAGGAACTCAATGCGTTTGTCCGTTACTCTATCAAACTTGCTGAAGTGAAAACAAAAGTTAACTTCATTGAGGACTGTATTAAGAGTCATTAATATCCGAAGTGGTTTTAGAAAGTACTGCGGAGAAATCGTATGCACCCCAATTCAAGAAAATGGATATATTTATAATTTACAATAGGAATCAATTTTTTGCCTACTGATATTTGAATCCAGCATATTAAAAAGAAAATTTCTTTCTTTTTACTATTTACTTTAAACTGTTCGTTAATAGTTGTTGGTGTCTTCATGAATATTTTATTTCTGAAAGTTGGTTGTCAGGATTCTAAAACTAATTATCAAAGTATGCTCACTACTTTGAATAAATCTATGTTGCTTAATTCCGTAGTACATTGAAAAAAGGTATACAACGTATATGTTTTCTCGTTTGACTGATTGGATTTTATCAAAAATAATACAGTACTGTTTAATCAGCAGGAATATTTTTCAACAATAATACTTATTTAATACCTGGATTAAATTGACCTATAATACGTGATTGAAAAATTACCCTGTTGTGTACATAATTTATCTACGGATTACCAGCTCTCACTATTTAGAATCACGAATGAATAAAATTACTGTTTCTTTAATTCAGTTTTATTTTTCTTGTTGAATGGATGGAAATATTCGGCCTCTGTTGACATGTCGGTTCCTAGCATGGACTCTTCGATGATGTCTGAAGACTAGCATAAGGTTATTCGTTGGATAGTGACTAGCAGTAAAATCCAGGGTGCGCATTTCATCATACTTGTGATTCTTCATCTGGATGTACCTGCATCCCCCCTAGCCAAAGTGGTCTAGTGGATAAGACTTTGGCGTTTGAAATGATGGGGCATGGGTTCGAATCTCAGTGGTAATACCGTTCGGAATTCCAAGTACATCCAGCTGAAGAGTCCCAAATAGGAAGGAATGCGCGACCTAGATTCCACGACTGACCACCATCCACTAAATAACCTAATGAATAAAGCTGTTTCACAACTGTTTCCTCTATAAGGTTATTTAATTTTGATAGAAACTTCATTCGGTCACTAATGGGTTTTTTCAGTAGACCGATCAGTGAGCTGAGTATTATTGCTGAGTTGATGTAGGCACTTTACAGCGTAGTTATCCTTATAATTTCAGGGGTTTATTCAAAGTATCACTGTGTAATGCTTTACGGAGCGTAAAAAGTCTTTTATTTACGGGAATACTGTGGATTGAAAATCACTTCTAGTGAATTCGGATCTCTTCTGTTTCACCAGTCTCCGTATAGTTTTAAAGATTTTCATGCTAACTTCAATTGGTTGACACAAAAATTGCGGAATAAATCGAATGCAACCTTTTGAAAAATTTTTAATTTGTAGGGTGGTACTGTTATTGGATCGGCTCGATGCATAGATTTTCGGAATCGGGAAGGGCGCTTGAAGGCTGCTTTAAACTTAGTTAAGAATGAAATCACAAACCTAGTTGTTATTGGCGGTGATGGTTCCCTAACTGGCGCTGATTTGTTTCGTAAAGAATGGTCAGGTCTTCTAGAAGAACTTGTTAAATCAAGTAGGTTTCAGTTAAATATTTTATTGTTAATCTTTAAACTGTTTAGTTTTGCACATAATCTGGACAGACTTCAAAATTTCCATTAATTGTTAATCATAATTCTGAGAATTTTTACGTTTAATTTTATCAAGATTATTAGTTTCATTTGACCAAACAGTATCAAGTTAAAGTGTAATGACAATGCGGTATTAATTGGCCTGCAGTATTTAGTATTTTAGATGCTACGAGGTTTTCGTAAACGGAACTATCCTGAAAGTGGTCTTTTGAAAAAAGAATAGCTTTTCCTCCTTCACAGATTCGTTTTTAGTTTGTTCATATCAGATTGCATTGGTTTTACATAGATTCATTCTTTATTGCTATCGTGGCTTTTGCTTGTATTCTGATTGTGTTGTTTCCGAAATCTCCAGCACCACTGTGTTGTTTTAAATATTTTTCATTGGCCAGTTAATTAGGTCAGTTTCCACGATATGATTATGAAGAACATATACTGTGCTAGAAGTGTCACCCATTATTGCTGCGTCATTGTGTAACATAAAATGAATGAATTAGAACAGAACAGCACCGCTGCACCCAATCGGCATATCAAAATAAAGATATGAGAAATTCATTTTTAAGCTAATCAGTAATTGGAACTCAATTGTCGTACATTCAAGTAATATATCAAAATCTGACTGGTTCTATCTTTCATCCCATATTAGTACCCTTGTCCCAGAAGTTAACGTCTTCATCAAACTAGTGAACTACTGCTCATTCTTCCGTATACTAAAACCTATATGTATGTATTGTATACAAAAAATAAGTGCTGAAAACTGTGCGTCGGTAGCACAGTGGTTAGGCCGCTCACCAGCCGACGCACACCTGATAATAATGATCGGTCTGTTAAATTTGGGCTACCGATATCACACGTTGAAAATTCTATACTTGTACCAAAATACTGTGTGGAATCAAGCTATGATGAAAATTTTTTTAAATATATAAGATTATGGCTAAATAGTTGAATCTGTCAGTTAACTAGAGAGACTGTGTATGAATATTTCGTCTTTGTTTCGAACTTCTTATGCAATATATATATATATATATATATCAATCCATGATTAAAATTACCTTAAAATGATTTTTCCACCTTAATCCTAGCCAATTGTCAGTCAGTCAATTTTACTATTTTTTTATTTACCTTTTCATTAATGTTAACGATATTCTTTAATATTTTAACAGATCAGATTTCTTCTGAAAACGCTGAACGATTTGGTCATTTAAATATTGTTGGTTTAGTTGGTAGTATTGATAATGACTTCTGTGGTACAGATATGACAATTGGTGCAGATTCTGCACTTCATAGAATTATTGAAGCAACTGATGCTATCTGTACCACAGCTAGTTCCCATCAAAGATGTTTCATTTTAGAAGTAATGGGTAGACATTGTGGTTACTTAGCACTAGTTGCATCAATGGCATGTGAAGCTGATTGGGTATTTATACCCGAAATGCCACCAGCTGATGATTGGCGTGAAAAGCTGTGTCGCAAATTACGAATGGTAGGTAAATATTATTATTAATGAAGTAAATACTTTTTAAAGGGATTATATAACTGATTTTAATATGTTCATTGTCTGCTCAGAGCAGTTTTAGTATCATTTCACTGTATGTCAAGCAAGTCTAAAGTAGATTTTATCGAACAGATTTTATCTTAGGTTAATATTCCTTAATACTGTGCAATAATATTACCACAAAAAATATACTTATCAAATTCAACAATCTTTATCATTTCATTGACTTTTTTTGATAACTCAAAATTAGTTCATACGGCAGAAGAACTCTCATCGAGTTAAGGGATTGTGTTATTGATGGTATACTGTTAGTGTGTTCTAGTTGTCCAATGGTCGAATGCAGGCCGGAATGCTGGAGGGCCACGTTTAATTTCGGGATGATGGACATACTCATGAAATCCATTTAGTTTACTTGGCGGTATTAAGCCCGGAAAATGTGGAAAGCCGCGTATAAGGCTTGTAACCTTACTCTGTGAAACAGCAACACCACCTCTGCGATTGCAATGCTTGAAGCCTGAAGCCTTATATTCCACTCGGAAAGCGAAGAAGGAAAAATAACCTTGACAATATTTTGAGTTTTTTCTTTTTTGAATGGGTGCCACATCACTTTATCCATTGAAAAATACAAAAAGCATTTCGATAATAAGAATTGTCGCATAATGATGGAACAAGTGTTTCAGTGCTTAGTGTAAACTTAAAGTGTCGATTAAGGTATTCTTCAACTGAAATTAATATTCCCTACCATGACTCTGGAGTAATGAAGTGAAAACACTTTCCATTGGAGAGATTGTGGAAGGGGATAGTTAGTGATGTATTTTGAGCGTTATCATTACCTTTAGTTGAAATACTAATGTTACAATATCTATAGCGTGGATTTCGCCAATTAATATGTACTTATTTAACTTATGAAGCTAATTAAAATCAAATCCATGCATTCATTTATTCGAGATGGTTGATTAATCAAAGTCATCAATATATTTCGGAAGTGGTTTTAAAGATCAGTTATCATTTGAAGTTAGAACAAAACTACATATGAAGCCTTAGTGTTTGCTATCAAGTAATTGTTATGTTGCCTAACGTTAATGAATGTTTATAAGTGAGTGTCGGTGGTTAGGAGGTAGAATGCTCGCCAACAACACCTCACGTGGTTCGGAGGTCGATCCTCGGCCGACGCACTCCTCAAGCTCACTAATTCGGTAGTAAGGCTGGTAAACAAGGAAGGTTGGGTGTGAGGCTAGCAACATCACCCCGTAAAAATAAAACCACTACTACTGAAACTTCAGAGCTCTAGCCTGAAGCCTAATGTTTCACTCGGAACATCAAGGAATAAAAAGTGTAAAATAATTGAAAAATTTCACAGTCCTTTGAGAGTCTTGAAAGTCGTGTAGTCATATTGTGAACTGACCAGTGGTGGATAGTGAGGGAATCCAGTAATCTGGTTTCGTTCTGTTCGTTAGCCGAAAGTATCATGGTATGAAATTGTGCCACTAACGCTTGAGATTTAGATTATGTAAAACCAACAAATCAAAAACAGGACAAAGTGCACTTTGTGAATTTCAACTTTGGCCATCACTGGGCAAATAAAATTAAATTATAACCTAAAGCATTATTAAAACTTCTGTACTAGTAGTCGATTTACCAAAAGAGACCAAATATTTCCTTTTGGTACAGTAAAACAACATGGAAAATTAATAAATGGGTGAAAAGTGAGTAAAGTTGCGTCATTATTCATACAATATATGACTTGTGCACTAATCCTTTTTGCCCTTGATACTGTAATATTTTATGCATACCCAAAATAGTTAATATCTTAACTAGTTTACAACTTTAGTTGGTTGATAATAGCATCTGTAACTATTACTATCCTAGTCTGAAGTTAAGTATCTTGGATTAATTCTTTCTTCTGACCTATCCTGGTCCTCCCATGTCTTAGCGATTTCTCAAAGAATATTTCGTCTGACTTTTTACATTAAGAAGTAGAGGCACTCAGGTATAACCCAACCACTCCTCTTATAGTTTGTCAAGTCGTGTATTCTACCTATTCTTCTTTACTGTTCACCCTTATTCTTTCCTGGATTGCTTAAAAAAGACTATGTCATACTACGTAGAACTCTTAAGACTGTCAGTAGAACGAGTGGTATCCCATTGGATCATATCGTTGACATTGTCACGGATAGGCACTCGATGTCATGCAACAAATTCGCTAAAGGAATTTTGTCAGACTGTGAGCATCCACCGCAGCACCTGCAGCTCCAACGTTGTGTCTCCTCAGGTAAAACAAGAAGTCTGTTCAGAAGAATTTATGCACGTACATCTAAGTATAAAAATTCCACTATACCATATTTAGCACGTACTTTATGTGATGAAAATAGTGTTAGGCATGAACTAACCAACCTTCTTTGCACCACTAAGTAATCCATTTCCTCCACCCTTACAACATCAAACTTTATTGTTATTGTATTACTTACACTTATAATCTTTTCAATTTTTTTGTTTTGTTTATTTATTTATTTCTCATAAGTATGGACATAATTTAAGCTGCATTATAACTGTTAATTTTGCGTTTCCCCTCACTATATTATATAAACAGAACATTAGATCCAATAATCTATAACATGCTAAAGTTTCCCAACTGAACCGACAATACCGTTTGAAACAAACTCACTGTTATTATTATTGTTATTATTATTATTACTATCATTAGTATTATTATTATCATTATATTTAATAATCTCACTTCGTGCTTCGAATATTTTTGACTTCATATCGTAAATGTGGACAAATTCCTCCGGTTAATTTTCGTTTTAATTTTTAATTTAATTTATATTTTGAGTAAATCAGATGCAATATTGTGACAAATGCTGAGAATTCCACTCTGTATTATAAGTACTGTTTTTGGAATAAAGTAGATCATTATTATTATTATTAATGTAACCCATGTTACGTGTTTTGTTTAACAGCTATTCCAATGACGAAGCCTTTCTGTAACTTTTCATAATTTTACAAATCATAATTAAAGTCTTAGCAACGATTTTTTGTATAACCATGGTATTTATATTTACAGATATTAAAACAGTCACCTTAAACACGGGATCACTGAGCAGAAGTTACCTGTCTGAACATCACACCAAAAACGGTTATATATACATATATATTACTGAATTCTTCTTGACATTCCATGTTTGTGCAAAAATTTTAGAATCGTCAATTCGGACAACGTGTAAACATAATCATGGTTGCTGAAGGCGCTATCGATAAAGACTGTAAACCAATCACCTGCGAAGATGTTAAGAATTTAATCGTTAAAGAACTTCAATTCGATACACGTATTACAGTACTGGGACATGTACAACGTGGTGGTTCGCCATCTGCTTTTGATCGTATTCTAGGCAGTCGTATGGGCGCTGAAGCTGTTTTAGCTCTTATGGATGCTGATCGTAATCGTGAACTACCAGCTTGTGTTATAAGTTTAGACGGAAATCAAACAGTACGAGTACCACTTGTACGATGCGTTGAGCGAGTAAGTTCTGTTTATTTGCTTTTTTTAAAGTTCAAATATTTATTTTATCAATAAATTTGCCACAAACTAACAAATGTGTATTGTTTTTTCTTATTGATTTGCTTTGAAATGATTGTTTGGATTTAAACTTTTACATCCTAATTTATAAATTCTTTAGGGCATAATGCCTCTGTTTTTTGAACAAATATCTACAATAACCATACTTATGTGATCTGATATGCTCATTTATGCACTATTCGCAAATAAAGCTTTTCAGGTTATTTTCAAGATACATGATGTAACCTCTTTAAATTAAAGTAAACGATTTCTTCGGTCCTCAAAATACTCTATCCTATAATGTTGAAAAATTGGTAAATAGACACGATTTCAATCATTAAAGTACATCAGTGCAAACTTTCATATATGACGAAACCAAAAAATTAAAATGTAAGTAGCGACAAGTATTCACTATCCTTTATTCGCCTATTTAAAAATGCATTTGTTTAGTTATATTTTCGCTGAAAAAAAAATAAAATTATCGAGTTATCTGAACCGAAATCCCTTTTTATGAATGCGCCTTATAATATTGTATTTTACAAATAGTAATTATTATTATTCCTAGGATTCCGAGTAGAACATCAGACTTCAGCAGTACGTTGCCATTTCACCGGTCTTCCTTTTAAATGGCTCAAACTAACACTCAGTGACTTCATAGACCACTGCTGGTGAATGGAGGCAGTGGAGATGATTATCGAGTCATTACTCAAATAATCTGGCTTTCCAGTATTATCATGAGAATTATTTCCAAAAGGACTGAATTAATTAAGCAATAAATAATAACTTTAGGCACAGACTTACAGTTGTAACAAAATACCTAACGATTATAACAAATTCCTCATCTTGTGTTAATTATTTCATAAATACTACATGAAATTCTAGACCCAGTTGATATAGTAGGTAAATGTTACGACTTTGTTTGTCTATATACATCAGATACTATTAAAAAAGGCTTAAAATGTTGCAAACATCGTTATTATTATGTCTGATGAATTATAAAGTAGTTTAGATTTATATAACGTATAAATTGTTTACACTTATTGTCAAATTTTACTTTATGATATTGTGTCAGCCAATACTTGCTACATTTATACAGATTTCATTATGTAATTGGTGAACGATATTATTCGAGTTAATTTATATATATATATATATATATATATATGACAATATTATTCTGAGGATTCACGAACATGAAATATTTTAGTGAAAAACTTAATTCATGTATTTAGAAAACAAATTAATTTTTGAAAACGAATTTTAAAAATAAGGATAGATTTATGTTATTCATTATAATAAAGGTTTTTGTATTTCCCAATGAATGAAAAACAAAACGATATTGTTTTTTTTACTGACGTTTCGCTATTTAATGGTAGTAGCTTCATCAAAGTACTATTATAATAGATTTATGTTGCTGTCATTTGGACACACTCATCAAATACTATAATTTGTTTTGAATTAGAAAAATCTCACTTCTTAGTCGCATTTCAGTTAACATTGAAATGTTGCTAACACTACTTTATCAGCGATTTGTCCGACAATTGATTCTAGTGTGTAAAGTCATTATCCTACATTGAATATAGAAATGTAATGTTTTTGACTGACAAAAAGCATCATATGTTCATGATTAAAAGTAACTGGTTAAAGATGTCAGGGTAAACTTCGTTCTGAATTCGAGCACCGAAACAGCTCTTTTTTCCTAAATGTGAGTGTAGAACTTGAGCACTGTAGTAGAATGTAATTCCATATTAGATAAGTTTATGTTAAATATTCCACAGTGATTCAGTCTCAACAACTGGATGACGTTTCGAACATAAATTATTGCTCATAATCATATCAATTTTAGTCAAACGGTTTCACAATCTGTCTTATATATATATATATTCTGTCTCTCCAACTTTCCTTTGGTGTTTGTTGCCACTTTCGGTATCTACGGCATAGGCGTTGCATTATTCCGCTTGCACGTATGTGGTGTTGAATCGATATACAAAGCTTCAGTGATTGACCTCTCTTTCCACCCAACTATATTACTTTTTAATACTCTCTTCCTGTCCCACCCAGACTATTTTGTGATTACATGTTAGTGAATACAGTGCAACTGATGAGCTCTTTTCTTAGTTATTTAACTTAGCAAGGTCTATTATTCTAGGTCTGACTAAATTTTTATGTCCGAATAATATAGTTGACCCCGATCTACTAGTTTGACCTATGTAATTGACTTCACAGTAATTATATGGTATTTGATAAATTATATCATTTGTCTTAATTGGATCTATCAGGTGTTTAAGCCGACAAAGTTTATATCTGAGAGAGTTGATTGGTTAATTATGATTATTATTATTGTCTTCTTTAATTCCTAGAGGAACATAGGGCTTCAGCCGTGCGTCTCCATTGCGTTCGGTTCTCTGCTAGAGTCTTTACCTGGCTCCAAGTCCGTCTACACGTTTTCATCTCCTCTTCACATGACCTCCTCCAAGTCACCCTTGCACTGACGACCAACTCGCCGCTTCCCTTTCGGGTTCCACTCGAGCAATGGCTTGTCTAGTGATGTCACTTGATGGTTTCCTCAGAGTATGGCCAATCCATCTCCATTTCTTCCTGCCTATTTGTTTCACAATTGGTTCTTGGTTGGTTCGCTCCCAGAGATCTCTGTTGCTGATCTTCTCTGGCCATCTGATCTTGAGTATTGAGCAAAGACAACTGTTAATGAAGGTCTGTAGTTTGTTTGAGATGCTCTTTATGACGCACAGTGCAAGTCTCTGATCCATATAGTAGCACTCACTTCACATTGGAGTTGAAAATCCGGTCGAAGTTTTTCATCCAGGGTGTGTTTGATTCTCTCCAGGATAATACGGTTTAATATTTTGCTTGGGATAGACAGAAGCATAATTCCGCGTCAGTTCTTGCATTGACTTAAGTCCCCTCTCTTTGGAAGTTTGAATAAGTATCCTTTCTTCCAATCCTCGGGTACTTTGCCTTCTTTCCACACCTTCTCCAGTAGTGGCGTCATCAAGTCCGCTGTTGTCTCTGGGTCCGTTTTCCATGCTTCTGCTGGGATTCCATCTGGTCCTGCTGCTTTTCCAGCTTTTAGCATCTTGATTACCTTCAGGACTTCTGATTTCGTCGGGGGGTTGGTGTTCACTGGTTGCTCTGTCTCCGTTGTTGGTATTGCTGGGCGCGTTGTAGGTGGTGGTCGATTTCGGAGTCTTTTGAAGTGTTCAGCCCAGTGTTTCCTTTGCTCCACTTCTTTGGTGAGTGACTTTCCATTGTCATCCTTCACTGGCTTGATTTGTGTCAAACTTTTGCCCGATAGGTACCTAGTAGTCTGGTAGAGTGTTGCGAGGTCTCCTTTGCCTGCAGCTTGTTCTGCTTCACTTGCCATGGCTTCATAATATTTTTTTGTCTTCTCTGGCACTCTTCTTTACTTTTTTGTTCAGTGTCTTGTAGCTTGCATTCAAATCCTGTTTTTGTTGCTCGTCGGTGCACTGGATTATCTTTTGTTTCACCATCCCTCTCTCTTCTATCAGTCTTCAAGTGTCCGTAGTGAGCCACTGTTTGTCCTGTCTCTTCCTTCTGCCTAGAACTTCCATGCAGGTTTGGCTCCGCACTGTCTTCAAGTTGTTCCAATGCTTTTCGACGCTGACCTCTTCGCCAGTGTTGATTTGTGTCTCGGCTTTGTCCTTTATGCTTGCAGTGAAGATGTCCTTTTTGTCCTGGTCCTTCAGTTTTTGAGTGTTGAACTTGGCTTGTGGTCTGTCTGCAGCTCCTGTTTCTCTGAAAGCTTTTAATTTGATTTGGATTGTCCCTTGTACGAGATAGTGGTCTGAGCCAATGTCTGCTCCTCTTCCTACTTTTGTGTCTAGCAGGCTGCGCCTCCACTTCCTTGAGATTGAGATGAAGTCGATTTGGTTTTTGGTTCGCCCTTCTGGTGACACCCATGTAGCCTTGTGGATATCCTTGTGTTTATATACGCTGCCACCAATCACTAGTTCATTGAAGGCACAGAAGTCGGCGAAGAGTTCTCCGTTTTCATTCATTTCTCCGAGAGCTTCTCTACCCATGATGAGTTCCCTTCCTGTTTTGTCTGATCTCAGTTTGGCGTTCATGTCTCCCATTAGTATTTTGATGTCACCAGCTGGAGTATTGTCCATTATTGTCTGCAGTTGTCTGTAGAATTCTTCTTCCGTTTCGAGGTCTGCGTTGTTTGTCGGTGCATAGCATTGCATGATTGACACTTTCCTTCCTTTGGAGTTGAATCTGGCGGTTATTATCCTGGGTGAGATCGCCTCCCATTGCATCAGGGCCTTCGTTGCCGTTGGTGACATCATGATAGCCACGCCCTCGGTGTGCGAGTGGTTATCTTCTGGGTGACCGGAGTAGATCACTGACTCACCCGTTGACAATTTGGTGAGTCCATTCCCGTCCCATCTGCTTTCACATATTCCCAGTACTTGAATTCTGTATCTTTTCATTTCGTTTGCGATCTGGGCAGCTTTGCCAATCTCGTACATGGTGCAGACATTCCATGTCCCCACAAAGACTTTTTCTTTTGTCTCAAGGAGATTCATCGTGCTGAAGTTTCTGTAGCAGCTTTGTTTACAGGGTGGGGTTGCTAGCCTCACGCCTGAGAAGGGGAGAGAGAAAAGGTTAGTGTTGCGTGACCGCAGAGCCCAGGGGACAACTGCTTGAGGCCGGTCACACGCGGTCTGTTTTTGTTTGTTCTTTCTTGTTTGGTGTGTCTCAGTAGCATATTCATCACTTCTACCCTGTGACACAGCAGCAGGAAGCGCGGTCGTTGTTACTCCGGCCCCGACCGATCCGGCATGATATTCTGTGAGTTTGTTTCAATCATAGTATTGGATTGGGTAGCTGCTTTTTGTCTAACCGCTATCCAAACAACCTTCCTGGCATGGTAGGAACATAAGTTCCAGCCAGTGTAGCTCGTTGGGTCATTGCGTTATGCAAGCCCGACCACCACGTCAAGATAGCAGCTATCGGTCGGGTGGTTGGTTAATATACCACCCTAATTCAAGGCTCATTGAGAATTCTACACAAGGCCTCTGACGTCCCTTCTTTATACGGTCTGGTTAAATCACTGAGCTACCGGAATTGAATCCCATAAAAATGCTTAATTTCATCTGGATTTATCGTTGTTTTAATCTTCCAACTATATCAAATGACTTTGGCATGAAATTGCGCTCTGATTTAACTTGCTTCCAAGTAAATGCTGTGCCATTCTTCAACGAAATGAAGATATGCCTGAGATTATTAATTTACACGTAAATCCTGTATGAGGAAAAAAGTATTTTGGAACTAAATACGCAGAAAATGTTTGTACGATATATTCGCATATTGCCTGAATTAAAGCCTGATTATTGTTTTTTAAAATACGGCAGTACTACAGAGGCTTTGAATTCTATATTTTGCTATTGTCATTATCATTACTAACCTTGTTTCCTTCTATGGTTCATCATACATTTCTGAATAAATTCTGGTAGGTAGTTATTCACTAGTAATATTTCCTTTATTTGTTTTATTTCATTATTTAAATCTTCTAGTTCACTAGTAAGGCTCTTGGCCCGATTATACAGATATTTAACTAAACCTATCTTTACCAATTCCGGATAGGATGAATTAAAGTCCAAGCATTTATTAGAGCGTCTCGGTTTTCTATAATTGCTAGTATCTAACCCACCATCTTGTTTTCATTTTATTCTACAGTCTAGCATGGCCAAATCACCCTGTTCATTTCCTAACTCAAAAGTGTTTTGGATTCCGTCTACTGTTGAGTTTATATGTCTGAAAAATGCGGGATATGTTCAGATTTCAACATAGAGAATGCTATCCACATATGTCCACCATAACCTTGGAGCAATAGGATGAAGCTTTATGATAGTTTTGTGTTCCCAGCTGTCCATAAATATGTCCGCTACTATTGGGGTATATTGGTGATCTCATTGCCACCCCATTCGTTCGTTCGTTTACTTTGAAATTTGAATACTGTGGAGTTTAGGAAACTGAACGCCTTGTATTATTTCATCAACCGAGAGCTTAGTCCTACTTTTGAGTTCAGAACCAACGCTCAGTTCATTCCTAACTACTTCCAGAACTGTATTAATGGGAATATTAGCATACAAACTGCTTATGTCAAAACTAATCATTTTTCCATCGTTTTCTAACTAAACTTCCTTTAGTTTAAATGGGCAGAACGTTATCACTCAGCCATTGACCAATTTATAATGTAGTGTCACTGTTATCCATTGTCTCCTGTGACCACCTGTCCTAGAACCTGACTTTGTAGGCCCCACCGTTGACAACTTGTAAATGGAATTCCAGGTAATCCACTCTTTAACCATTCATTGACCATCAGTGGATTAACTTTTAAATGTTGAGTCGTTGGGGATTTGAATAGTTTGAAGATGGATTCTAGATGTTTCTAATCAACTGATATGATTTCAGGGAGTACTACATGGTTGCCTTACTCTCTTTTAGAACTCTTCAGCAGCGTATACGCATGACCAACCAATGATTTCTCAGGGATATTGACTCGTTATACACTATATCGAATATGAATTGGTGGACAGACAAAGTAATTTTTCCCATTTTTTTTCACACTGCAATGGACACCCAATCACCCTTAGGTGAGATTTATGCGGTCAAGTAGATGAAGCCTCCTTATCACGTTCATATTACGTGTATTTTTACTCATGTTAGGATAGTTTCGCATCCGTGTAAACCCCTATCTTTTTAAAAGCAAAACATTTTATGAAATTACGTCACTCTCTGTTACACTTACCGTTCATCGAGTTATTTGGTACTATGATAAATTATAAATTTAGTGGAACCTCAAAGATGATAAAGTTTAGTACTCGCAAATCCTTTTATTTATGCCTCTGGTTGACATAATAACCTATTTAAATGTTTATCTTTCTGAATGAGAATCAGTTCTTGAATGAATGATAACTGGTCATCTCATATTACAAGATAAATAAATCATCCTGAAATACATTCAGCATAATTTTCATACAGTCAATAACAAACTGAAAATTCTCTTAAGTAAATCTAGTTCGTAATTCACGTTGGTAAGGTGTTTTTATCCTTTGACACTGAAGTCTAACAATAATAATAATCACCTTATTCTAAACACTGATATTATACAAAATGGTATTTTCGTCACTGTCATTTTTGCAACAAATCCACTTCTTTATACAAAAAAAGTCAAAGGTAATAACCGCTAAATCTGCGTTTTATGATAAGTAATTTAGGGGAAAAAGTTTGATTTATGTTTGAACCCTTCATTGGTGGTTGCCATATCCTATGATATTACCAGTAGAATGCACGGGGAAAACGAGAAGCGATAAGCTGAAATGTTTTCAGAAAGCAAGAGAGAAAATAATTTGATTTGAGGACACAGCTAATTAGTTAAAACAAAAACAGAACAGGACAGAGCACTTTGGGAATGAAGGTAAACGACATGTTGCTAGATCATTCAAACACATTAGAATTATTATTATTATTCCCTTGCGTTCCGAGTGGAACATAGGGTTTCACATTAGAATAAATGTATCTAAATACTAGTTCACTCATAGTCCTATGTATCTTGAATAACTCAACAACATGCTGTTTACTTTCAGTCCATTTTATTAACCTAAAGTTCAAATGAACTGCCAGGGTACTCCAAGGCCTGCATGACTTTCCATATTAAAGTAAATAGAGGATATATATTCCAGCAATACTTCATATATTCGCCTTTGTTGTTCAGTTATAGATTGATTTCCATAGTAGACTTTTGAAGACTATTGGAAATTAGTCATTCAAATAGGAAACGTATAATTCGATGAAAAAATATTATGAGCTGCGAAAATTTGTTAGTTAACTTGTAATTATGAAAAAAAATCTCAAACTTTTTCAAGACGACCAATTACACATTTCTGTGATTTCGACTTCTTAGTCTTATTGAAAACAAAACTATTTTCTTTTCTTTTTTGTTTGTTTTTATATCTTCTAGACACGTAAAGTTGCTGAAGCAATGAAAAATTTTGATTTTGACCAAGCTGTTCAACTGCGTGGATCGTAAGTCTTTTTGGTAAACTTTGTCTTTTAGTAAACGTTTATCTACATAAACCAGTTTTCTTTTCAATTTATTGTCATTTATTGAAGTGATAATTTTTGTTTAGTAACCTTAATTATCACTATTATTATTGGTAGTAGTAGTATCATTATCATCAAAATTAATTAGAAATTCGGGGTAAACTCAACTATGGAATTACTGTTTCCTATAAATCAGTCAGATAAATAATGATTCTATATCAAGTTGGAGGATCCCATCATGCGTTGACATCAGTTAGAGAACCATTGGAAAATCTGGGAATACTGGACAGCTGTTTCGTCAGCTTATTTTGGGACTGTTCATCAGTACGTACCCACCGGGGCTCGAACCCAGGACCTTCTGGTTTTAAGTGAGTTGGTGGTTCAGTGGTAGAATGCCCGCCAGGTGCGCATGTGGTTCGGGATCTAGTCCAAGCAGATACATTCCTAAATCCGAAAAAGAGGGGAGGTCGGGCATGAAGCTAGCTACCACACCCCTTAAAAACACTAGGACTGCTAAAACTCGATAGCTCGATGCATTTTATTTTCCACTCGGAATTCCAAAAGAAAGCAAAAAAACTACGTATAGGTGATTGGTTGTAAAATTACAGTAATTACGGGAAGTTGTAACAAATACAGAGTTTGAATGGAACTAAGCATCGAATACAGTGGACTGTGAATTTACAAGAATATCAACCAATATATTTGAAAATAGTGTCTGTGAAATAGGTTACTTTGAGTGAGATTCACTTTTACATGCATTGTATTATGTCTACTGCTGAAAAATCTGGAAAGAGGATGAAACAGCTATCCAGCACTTTTGTTTTCAAATGGCTATTCAAATTGATGCTGTCCTGTAGTAGAATTTAAAATGACCCCTGATCATACACTTCCCATTGATCTGAATTTGTTTTTCTTAACAATCCTAAAATTCTTAGCTAATAATTAGTCTCACTGCTAAGAAAAAACAGGGGTATGAGAAAAATTTTAACCTGATATCCTACTTCTAATTAGTGACATTCTACACGTGGATGATAAACTGAGCTACATTGTTGTTTAACCTGTTGTAAGTGACTTAAATCACTTAGGCTATTTAGTTGTTCATTGGCTATTGTATTTTCAGAGGTTCACACTATTAAGTAGGATCAAATAACTGGTTTCAGAAATGAGGGTAATCATGTGTTGTACTATATTTGAAACAACTCTTAAAGGTGTAGTATTGAAAGGATTCATATAATGTGCTTTTGATCTCAATTATATTGTATAATAATTAGGAAGTAAAATCCTTGCCTTACACTAAGCTAACCAAAAAGTTTCCATTAGGTATAGTATATTTGATAATTCATGACACTATATACTGCTGACTGGTTGATATGAATAGGGTGTATACAACTGCTCATTTCAAACAGTCAGTAAAATATAGTGTTCATTTATGTTTACTTTTTTGATTGCCGTTCATGGTATCAAACAGACCACATATTGTAACCTGAATGATTTCGGTTTCCCAAGGAAAATGTAGTGGAATTTCTATCCGAATTATGCAAACCGCAAATTTGATGTACATTTGAAAACTTTTGTACATTTAGTGTCAATTAGGGAGAAATTTCTGACCAGATAAAAGGATGATAGCTACAATAGATATCACTCATTTGTCTTTCTGCGTGTATAATCCAATATTAAATTGTCATAACTGTCATCTTTTCGACAAGGAAAGAGGTAAATGTTGCTATGGTGAGAGACAGAGAGAAAGAAGGAATTTTCAGGTGTGCCTTATTCTAGCGAAGTTTCCTACAAAGTGATGCCTGTGAAAAAATTAACATTTTTCGTTTCCAGATAACCTACATGGAGTGGTATCAACCGCAAAGGCTAGTCGAAACACAGAACATAGTTTGTGGCATAATAAATTGGTACATTTTAGCTAGCATTTATGAATATTAAAATGTATGCCAATAAATGACCCGACATTATATTTCTTAAACTGAAAATTAATTATTTAAGTGATGCATATATATATATATATATGATTAGATATGAATGGACAGCAATCTATGGAAAATAATTTGTCAACAAATTAAACATTCATTATGTGAATCTAGATATCTTCCTAATGGAAATTATAGAGGATAAGGTGATGGTTTTAACATTCGTTTGCTTTTTAGTGCATTTTGATTTCTATGCCCAGCAAATCTAACATTTCACCACAAGATGTGATATATTTTCTGGCTACTTATTATAGTGTAGCCAACTGAAACCTTATGCTTACATAAAAGTATTTATCATTAATTCACGTGGACAATGAATTTGACAGAAACATTTGTTGTGCGCATTACGCTTACTTCATCTACTTAAAATGAGAAAAATGCGTTTAGGACATTCAGAATAATAATAATAATGATTTACTTTATTTTTTTTTTTATTGGAAGAAATACTTACAAATGGCATAAATCATAGATGTGCATGTTAACACTTAAAAATAACCCATAATAATTTGTATTTTATGCAGGTGTTACTAAGAGGTTATAGTAAAAACAGTTATTCACTGGTTGTTCAATGGTAGTGAATATCATGCTAGTTAGAACCATTTAAAATATCACTGAACTCTCCTATGATTTATTGTGTTGGCACAAACTGCAACTAACCAAATATATTCACTTCGAACACTGATTTCTAATCTGCTCAATCGTATCATGATATACGTAATGATATATGTAATAAAATATGAAGACTTGTTGGTTCATTAAACCTTGGTTTTAATTTAAACCTGCATATAGCTGCAGTAACAACATTCTGCTACACCTAGTTCACGGATAGGATCCTGACCAACTATGCACGGCAGACGTATGGAAAAAGGGCTTGTTGGATGTCCTGGATGTCTGGCCCCATTCAAAAAGGCGTACGAACCGGACTGCGGTCACCGGCTGCCAATGGATAGTGGACTCCCTACTCCACTCCTACTGCCTTGTAGGTCACACTTGGTTGTGTAAAGGCTAGAGCTGCACTCTCAAACAAAAGGCCTAGCGATTCTGGGGACATCACTCGTACCAAATTCCCATGAAACTTCATGAACTCTCTGATCGCCACGCCTGGGCAGCGATGATTCGAGATGTTCATGAAGCCGGCTCATCCTCCCGTAGGAGATAGCCGAAGTAAAGTAAAGTAAGTAACTATGCACGTAGTTGGGGTTTAGTTCCCGGTCAACGCTCTGCTACACCTTTCCCAGTATGTAATGAGGATGAAGGTTATTTGTGCTAGATTAGCATCGGTTGGTGTGTCACGACTCCCTGGTTGGGGTCCGCGAGATAGCTGGAATCGATGGCTCGAAACGTTATCGGATATGGCCAAGAATCGTAATCAATGGCGAACGTGTTGCAATTTCCTTCTTTCTTCCCTTCCTGATGATAGTTAACGAATACTGTTTGAACTTGTTAAACATGACTGCTTTCCTTCCTGATGAAGTTCTTTATTCGTTTTCTACCTATATTTTTACTTTTAATCTATGTTGTTTTATTATTATTGTGTGGCGCATCTTTCTTGGTGCCATGTTGTACCAAGTTTTTCTGCGTTTAAATAAATAAATAAATAATGAGCCCAGAAAGAAAAGAGGGAAGGTTGGGGGTGGAGCCAGCTAATTCGCCTCTTACAAAATAGCACTACCTCTATTAAAACATCAAAACTTGAAGCTTTAAGAGGCCCTATGTTTCACCGAGCGCAAAAGAAAGCAAAAAAGCTGTCTCCATAAAATAAGGTAGCTTTAGTCCTCATAAGGTTGCTTAGAATATACACCAGCTTATTACGTGATACTGACTGGCTTCAAGATGACATTGCCAACAAATTATCTGTCAGAAATTAATTCAATATCCGTATCTGTAATTACGCCATATGTGTATTTCCCCTTCCATTTACACCTCTAGATGAACAAATATTTCTACAGAGAATTATAAATGTTACCTTGAAATTTTTAAAAATTTTACTCGTTTCATTTAAATTTACGATTAAATTATTTTCAAGGGTTGGTTTGTAAGGATTAAATTTGTTTCACCTTGATATGATTATGAGCAATAAATTGTGCTCGAAACGTCATCAGTAAACATTACTGTATAACACTGTGAGACAAAATTTACCCATAATGGAATTACTCTCTACCACAGTGCACAAGTTTTATTCTTATATTTGTTTTTACGAGTTTGGCAACGGATTAATGTCAATTAGAGAACCATTAGAAAACCTAGGAGTACTGGACAGCTGTTTCGCCAGCCTAGTTTGGGACTGTTCATCAGTACGCTATCACTGGGCTACGAACCCAGGACCTTCCTGTTACAGGGGAGCTCGTATGCCATTCAGCCATTGGGAACCGATTCAATGGCCAATGAATTCTAACTTCTACGAATTCGTGATTTAGCGCGAATGACATTTAACAGGTCATGACATTCTTCAAAGTTACTCAATGGAATAGCTGAGACAAGATTAAATAAATTATTACACATATGATTTGATTTTGTGTAAAATAGAATAAATTTATATTCAGAAATTAATTTTGTTAACCAAACTATCAGGTGGTGTTGTATAACGTAAATTCGATTGATGTTACTCTCACGAGCAAGACACATTTACAACCTTCAAGAAAAATATTTTTTCCCTCTCAGACTAAGATTTATGTCATTTAATTATTAGATTAAAAACTTTGTTACTACGATATCCATGCCATGACTGACAATGTAGGCAAACTGTTGTTTAATTATATCTAATGCAGTTATTTAGATTATGTTGGACATATCTATGAGTCTTTTGCAGTTTTTAGTATTGATGATGATAATCAGTTATATAAATTTACATTTCTTTTTTTCCAAACTTCTCTTACAGGAGTTTCATGAATAACTTATCAACTTATCTAAAGCTTTCTAAAATTGAACGACCACGTCAAAGTACCATGGTGAGTTATGCTTTTAATGTGTATATGTGTATGTGTAAAAGTCACCTCTTTATCATTTGTTTACTTCACATATCTACCGAATACTAAATTTCTTGAAGATGTATTCTAACCCTTATAATATTTAAGAAATCTAAACCCAAATATATGTAAGCACTTTTTGGGTGTAAGTGTAAACTGTGGAATGAATTCCAAACGTCAGCGCTTATTTTGTTTCAGTACAGACACTTTTTAATTTTATTAAAAAAATTCTAGATAAATTGTTGAATTTCTTTCAACAAAACTTTAGTTTCTAATTTTTGATGTAATTCTGAATAACGTAGCATATTCTTATCACATCACCTTAGATGTACACTCCATAATCCTTTCTATACCTTAAGATTCCGAAAAAATAAGTTGGTCGTTGTATAATAAATGTGTGATTCTGTTTTATCTATGGGTGAATTGATTAACTTACATACAGTATGATAGTTATTCTTCAATAAATAACATTTTCATTCCTTTTATCTTCTAAAGGAATATATATATTTTCAAGCATTGGTTTGGTAGGGATTTTGTTTAATTGCATGGAGGATTTCATCATGAGCTGACATCAGTTACAGAACCACTGGAAAACCTGGGAGTACTGGACAGCTGTTTCGTCCTAGTTTGGGACCCTTCACAGTACGCGCCCTGGTCCTAGGTTCGAATCCTAGTGGACGCGTATTGCTGAATATATATATATATATATTATACCTAAATATTCCTTTTGGTTAAAGTTTCCATACATATTTCGAGTACATATACACAGGAAAGAATAACGCATATAACGAGGCATTTTACAGGTCACATTTCTTACCAGAGTACTGTTGTATTTTGAAATGTTAATTCAGTCTTTCTGTTTTAATATATATATATATATATATAACTCTCTTTTTTGTCGTTTTATATTACTCACCTTGTACACTGGATAATTTATATTCCGTGTACACTATCACTATTTCTCCGATAATCCCATTGACTCAGTTACTAACATTTTTATCTGCTATTCACTCCAGTGATTTCAGTAGGCATTTCATGTAATATTGAAACAACCAGTTTTGAGTCTTATTTTATCTTCCACAGATTTCAAGTTTCGTTAGTTGGTTGACTAAGGAAATATCTCAGACATACCACTAATCAGTCATTTAATAGTATATTTGGTTGTCTGTGGAAAAGGAAACTTATGAATGTTATAAGAAATGGACTAATAGCGACATATACTCGAGGGATAAAATTTTTAATTTCATTGCCGTTTCTATTTAAATAACTAGTTTAAATTATCCTAATACTGAAGTTATGATCTTGGTAGTGTCATGAGACAACAGATACTACTGAGTGATTTGACCTCGACTTTCTAGTAAAATAATACAAATATTTCCTATCATAAGATTTATCTTTTGGGTTCATTTCATTTTTGACTGGGCACTAGTTAATAACTAGTGTATTGTGTCTAGTTCTTTGTTTGGTGCAGACTGAATTCTGTCAGTCAAGTTTGCAATGGGGCCACCGTTCTAGGTGGCGAGCTCGAACAGCTGGGTAGCAACGTATCTGACTGCATCACTGGGTTCGAATCTCGGAAGGGAAATGAGTTCCTTCAAGGCTGCATAGACGCCTTGCTGACGAGTGCCACCCAACACAAAACCTAGATCAGACAAGGCTTCCTACCGGTTGCCTCAAACCATCTGATATCATTTCATTTTTGCTGATTTCTGTTTATGTTTTAGAATTTCTACATTATTCATACAGGGATTAGTTTGTGTAAGTGATTACAGGAATCTTTTAACTTATCGTTTTACGATGTATGAACACTTGATTCTGATATATTCATCAGCAGATGTCATACATTGTGAGTCGGTGGCACAAAAAAGATGGCATACATATGTAATACTGTCACGAGAGAATTAAGACGCTATCAAATTATATATGGTATTACATGAAACCCATAATATTTAAAAAAAGAAACGTGAATTTACAATAATGCAAGAACAACAGTGGTTTGTGCAGAATAATATGGTACGATCATTTATTTCGTAGGCTTCTCATCAGCCGCTTACAGCCTAAATAAATTATGAGGTTTGCGTACAGAAAAGTTTTAACATACTTGCAAATTTTTACATGTTGTCAGTTGACAAAAAGTTCCACAGTAAGTGAACAGTGCTCAGAAAATTGCGCTTATATAGTTTTTACACAGGCAGTTCAAGTTTAAACAAAATAGATGTATGCATACAATGGTAAAAGAGTTACGTAATAAAGACGAAATATGGGTTAGATACAGAGTGACTAATAAATTAGGTAACAATGTACTGAGTTCAACTCAAATCATAGAAACAAGAGACAAGCAAAGTTACAGAATATAAAAGTGGGTGAGGTTAGAGACAAAGATTACGTGATCAGATGAGAGAATAAAGACATTCAGTTACCAAGGCAAAGGAAGGTTAATAACTGCTTCTTTCTGAACACATAAATCTGGTTTCAAGCGTTTGATAGAGATTGCTTCGGCAAACTTGAGGAGAATGGAACTCCTTTGTCTATTGATAATTTTAAAGGATTTCTCGATTTCTACCTCATGACCCGTGTCGAGAAGATGTCTAGTAATAGCGCTGCTATAAGAGTTTGTTCCCTTGAGACGTAGGCTTTTTGGCACATGTTCAGAAAATCGGAGGTGTGCCCTTCTTTCTGTTCTCCCAATGTAACTGCTCCCGCAGATACACTTAAATCCCTGACGAAGGAGAAACTATGTGACGTCTTCCCAGAAAATCCTGAGGAGTTTGTGTATAATTTGTCGAGTTTGAATTTAAGCCGCATTGAAATGGAAGCACTTTCCCTTGGATTTAAATTCCATATCCTGAATAACTTTATCACGTCTTTATTACGTAACTCTTTTACCATTGTATGCATACATCTATTTTGTTTAAACTTGAACTGCCTGTGTAAAAACTATATAAGCGCAATTTTCTGAGCACTGTTCACTTACTGTGGAACTTTTTGTCAACTGACAACATGTAAAAATTTGCAAGTATGTTAAAACTTTTCTGTACGCAAACCTCATAATTTATTTAGGCTGTAAGCAGCTGATGAGAAGCCTACGAAATAAATGATAGTACCATATTATTCTGCACAAACCACTGTTGTTCTTGCTTTATTCAAATTCATCAAGGGGAATAAATGCATGAAATTTACAATAAGATGGAAGGACATATCACATCATTTTCAGTAGATATCTTTCATTCAAGAACTAGCTGTAAATATCTTGGAGATGTGCTTCATTACGCCAATGAAACACATAATGTTAACCTGGAAAATACCCAAAAGGATTGTAAATATAGGGTTCATTGGTTTAACAGTCGGATTCCGCTGCTCCCCCATTCTCCTAGACAACTTGGTGATATCATTATCTCCCATACAGTAAATGTAATTCATATTTAGGTACACGAAATATTTATTTCGAGATTCCATATCTATTTGTTACTGTGGAAAGTTAGTTATCGTACCAAAACATTCCTCATCAATAAAATCACTAATGGATGTGCGTCCTAAATGTGTTTTATTCATTATAATTTAACAATAACAAAATATATGAGATTCATATCAACTGTGATCAAGATTTAACCGAATCGCCCCAAAGTAATTAGGCGCCTAGGGAGAGGTAAACATATGTAAAAATTATATTTGTATTATCTTAGTGAAAGTGAAATAAGGAATTCCAACGTTTCCTTTCGGCGAACTCGTCCAAACTTCAGGGAAATTAATCGAGATTAAAATAACAAAGGTTTATATATAAAAGGACATCTCTTGTTTCTAGAATCTTTGTCCAATCATATGAGTCATGAAACAGGCATCAAAATATAATAAACAAAATTTCATGAACTGTGATCAAAATTTGACCCCAGACTTACAAATATTATCAAGAGTTGATTTGTAAGGATTTGATTTGTTTTTCGAGTTTGGCCACGGATTGATATCAGTCATAAAACCATTGCAAACTAGGGAGTACTGAATCGAGTTCCAATGGCTGAATAGTATACGAGCTTGCCTTGTAATCTGAAGGTCCTGGTTTTGAACCCCGGTGGGTGTGTACTGATGATGATTGCAAATATTAGTCTACTTTTGTTCAACACTCTAAACAGTGTGTAATTTTCCATAAGATTTTTAGTGAATACGTTGCACTAAAGTTCATGGTCGTAGATAACTGAATAGGAGAGGTAAATGTAAGGGTGAAGAAGCTTAAAAAATGTCTAAAGATCGTTCCAAAGACACCTGCAAATTTGAAGAAGCTGCAAAACAGGTTGGCGATAGTAATGCACTCGACAGAAATAGGACGCAATATCGATTAAGGTTGTACAGAGACGTTTCATTTCGTATAAAGAGAGACTGACTGGAAAACCTGGGAGTACTGGACAGCTGTTTCGTCCTGGTTTAAAATTCTCCAGCAGCACGCATCCACCGGGTTTTCTAGTGGTTCTCTAACTGATGTCAGCTCATGATGAAATCCTCCATCTAGTCAAATATAAATTTATTAGATATTATAACGCTTATGAAGATATAATTTTTATGGTTCACACACTGTTGAATAACACGTATGATCACATGAGGTTTTGATAACCTTGGTATTTTAAATTTTGTATGTACTAAATATAACTTTTTGCATAATAAACGAATCTGTTTACTTATTTATCTGCACTAGTACTCAATATTCTTAAGAAATTCAACTGTTTTAAAAAAATCTAATATATTTCCCTCAGTTACATGTGTTATTCAATAAATGCATTGTTTATGTAACACTAAATACTAAGTTTATGACTGTGTATTTTATAGTCAAGTGAAGTAAGTTGTTTCACGTTTTGTAAAAAGAAATATTGTGTTTGTACTCGTTTTGTAATGTACGCTGTGTTGTATATTTGACTAGTATGTGAATGTCTACAGTATGACATATCTACGCATAATATGTAATTGTGAGTACTTTATAGTGAAAGCATGTTAGC